TAGTGGTCAAAAGTAAGAATCTGGAGCACAATTCAAATCTCAGCTCTCACTCTCTTCTGGGCCCAATTTTGTTATCTGTAGGATGGGAATAATATACTTCATTGACTTGTAGTAAAAATTAAATAAGAAATCAAACATTGTACAAGAGTGTGTCATATATTAAAGCAATCAATTAATAATGTAATTATGAGTAAGGGGGCCCCCAGGCTTACATTTACTTAGAATTCTACTGGTGGAAACTGGTTCCCGTGTCCTCTTAGCCCCAGCTCAGTGTTTTTTCATTGCACCATTCTGGGGCTATTGAAACGCTATTTGGGCTGACTTGCCTCGTAATGCTATCATGATGGTTGGCATGGAGAGGTGTGTATTCCCAAGGTATGCTTTCATAGCATAGAATAGAGTTGATGGGAAAGCACTGTAACCAGGAAGTTAAGAGAAAGGGATGACTGCCTCAGCTTTCTCCTAAAGAACATCATTTCCAAAGAAGAGAAGTAAGAAGTCATGCTAAGGCTTACCCACCTCCTACCCGGTCACCTGTGTTTATGAAATGGAATGGACTTTGAGTCCCACTACAAGAATAAGGCAAACCAGTACAAAAAAGGAAAAGAAATTGCCTTTTGTATTCTTTTTAGTGGGAAAAGTAGAAAGAAATAGTTGCACCCTCAAGCCTCAGTTTCTTCATACGTAACTGGGAATAGTAAAATCTGCTCTATCAAATAACGTTAAAAGCCCTAGAATTTATTTATAATAGAATATCCCACCAAAGCTAGAGATAAGAGCTTTATCAGAAGTAAAATTAGTTAAGACAACTTATTTGATCTCACTCTTCACTACTAAGGAAGCCTTAGAATGAAATAGAATTACAGTGCATCACTTTTCATATCGTATCTACACGTACCTGCATAGAAATTCTGTCCAAGATGTTATTAATAATAATAAGTGAATGTATTGCTTCACATGTCAGAGGGAACAATTCAGGATACAACTACTATTTTAATATATTTAGCCAGTCCTTTTTATCAGCATGAGTGACTGGTAGACAGCTGGTGAATGAAATCTACAGCTTTTATAACTTTACAGTTAGGATTAGACCAGATAACATTGACGAGTACTTCAAAGAGGGTTGCTTTTATTTTTTTCCCTCTCTCTCTCAAAGGGATTCTGGCAAAAGTTCATATTTTCATCTAGAGAAACTTGCCATTTAGAATATATATATTTCTTTTTAAACCCATTCAGTTAGCTGCCCAGACTTGTATTAACAGAAATTGTTCAACACAATTCTTTCTAGAAGCCAATAATATACCTATAATATACCTCTCCATAATAGATTCATAGAAGAAATGTGACCTATTTTACATTCTAAATCAAATAATGCTACATTTTAGCCATTTCTATTGCCTTTGACATAGATATCTTTCCATGAAAAGATTATATTTATTCCTTAGGAGTGGACTAACAAATAGTATTTTAGTCAAATATTACTTGTTAGTGTTAATTTTAGAAGTTTTCCATCAAGTAAAATAGCATTGCTATTTTTTAATTACATACTCATACAGACTGGGCATCTCATGAAAGGAGACAGGACTATACCTTGGTAAGTTGTCCCAGGTGTGCACTAATTATTATATATTTGAAGGTTCCATTGTAGCTAATGAACTCTGAGCCATGAAAATTCTCCTTATTGAATTTTAAAAATATTACAGATAGGTAAGGAGATGCTAAATAAATCATCTGATTTACTAAATCTAAATGTTTATTTTTATCTGTTTCTAGAGTAAGATGAAGGCATTTCTCACCATCAGAGTGTAGGGTTAATGCATGAGAAGACCATTAAACTCCCATCATTTAAACATGATAACTGCCTCATGTATCTACATAATGTTTCAAAGCTATTTTTAAGCCATTTAAGCTTTTCAATTTACACTAAACATCCACCAAGAGATTTTCTGTTAAATTTAGTGCAGCATTTTAAATGATCGCCACAACTCAATTTTAAATAAATTCTAGAGTAAAAGTAATTTCTAAAGACATAACTTACATAATTTTCCTCAATGCATCACTGGTTCTGAATAGTGGCTTTCAAGTTTAAATCATTAAAGTCTTTTAGAATCCCTGGGCAGCAACGCTTTGTATAAATCTAGTGTAAATTTTAAGGAGTTAATTGATGTTAAAATGACAAAATACGTTTGGCATACTTACATGTTGCTGGTTGCCCCAGATAATTTCAGATAGCAAGTATTTCACAAAATGTTGTATAAACAACAAGTAAAGCACTGGAAAATTTTCCAGTAAGAATTAAAATCATGCTTGTCTCCTAATAAAATTTTTGATCTGCTAAGAATACTACTAGCTAGGATTTTATTATGTGAACTAGGGCATCCTTGGGACTTGGGAATTTCACCTGGAAAGAGCAGATGACAACTGGGAATGATTGGCTGACTCAATGAAGACAGAAAGCTGAGGTAGAACACA